GGAATAGTTCGGGGTGGTTTCCTCTGTATGGGACATTAAGGGCACTTAGAGTGTTTTGTACTTCTACCCAGAGGGGTTGAATGTTGGGACATGACCACCATATGTGCGTATGTGTGCCTGTCTCCGCCGAGCATCTCCAGCAGAGAGGAGACGTATTGGGGTAAATTTTATGGAGAGTGTAGGGAGTTAAGTGCCATCTGTACAGTAATTTCCTATGTGCTTCTATATGGGTGTAGCACTTAGTCCATTTAGATATGGCGTTCAATGCATGAATCCATTCGTCATCCGTGAGTTGGATAGTGCATTCTGTTTCCCACATTGCTTTGCAATGTGGTGCTGCGTTGGGCAAGGTACTGTCCCATGTCCTATAACAGAGGGAAATACTGTTCTTTTTCATAGGGACTTTCCAGCATCTTTCTATTACTGCCTTTGATGGAAGAGGGCTCTGTTCAGGGGATTGTTGTTGCTTGTTTACATGTGTGTTGATGATCCCTTTTAGTTGTAAGTATGTGAAAATAGCGTTTGTTGGCAATTCCCATTTCGTTTGTATGTCTGTGAAGGGTAATGTAACGGACCGTTTTGCACACAAGGGGTAAAAACCGTTTAGGCGATCGGCCCCCTTTCCAGAGATCCAGGCACAGCTACTGCAGAACACCAAAACTCACGAACTGGATACAAAATAGCACTCCAACTCCCGAACTGGAACCTCCCAAATAGCTGCTAGCAGATGAACAGGAAAGAGGAACAGCTTACACTCCACCAAATCAGTCTCTAACAGCATAAGTGAATCCCCAAAGCGAGACAAGGAAAACTCCGTGTTGGCCAAACAGTGGTCTGAGGTGCTGGCACCCAGCCTGGTTTTATTACAGTGTTTCAAATACAGGACCACCCACAGGGAGGATAAAACAACCAATCATATCACAGTTACATCACATATTCCTCCCTTATCCTGGAGAAACTATACAAACAGTTAAAACATACTTTCTACCGCTTTCCTGCTCCAAACCATCACATTCATAAATTACATATTCTCAATCAATGTATTCAGAGACAACATATTAAAAAATGGCACAAATCAGACAAGGGGTTCAAAAAGTTAGTAAAAAGTCCTTTGTGACTAAATGAAGCATGGCTTTCTGGCCCAAACCAGTTTCAGAGTCTTCTATCCTGGAGAGTAATTCAATTATCTCCCAGGACAGACACAAGACTCCATTAAGCACATGGTTGCAAAAAGACACAAAACACTTTAAATACATAAAGTCACATTTATTACATAAAACACAGACATGTAACATATCCCCAGATAGCTCAGGTCCGAGCGCACATTATTAAGCGAATGGCGCTCAGACCACACAAATACAGTTTAAT